CCTATCAGCTCCCAGTTTGTGAAAGGACAAACATAAACAGTATTTTTTTAAAGCCTTATGGCTTTAAAAAATAAAGGTGATAAAGGAAGCCAGTTATTAAGAGGGATATTAAAGAAACAGACCTAATGAGTGTATCCTTGAACACTCAACATTCAACAATACTTATGGACTTTTAACAACATTTATGGACATTGGTCTGCTCTAGACCAATGACCAATGGCTCTGTGTTGGCAATTATTTAAATCCACCAAAGGCATTTTTATCTATATTTGACCAAAAATAAATTTTAAAAAACACACAAGAACATATTCAAAGAGACGAGAACATAATTGGTTGTTTGACTCAAAATACTTTAGTAAAACAATTGCATGATATTCTTTATTAATCATCAGCTCTGGCTAAGTTATGGTTCAGATATGGTTAAAAAAACGGAATAATCAATTACTACATCAGTTTACAACTATTTCAATACTCGAATCCTTGTTACAGCCCTGCCTGTGGCAATGAGCTTGTATAACTTATCTAGGACTCCAATGTATGAGCCACTGAACCATCTCTCTTGAAGGTGTTACAGACATTGCCAGCCCTGCCATGCCACAAGTGTCTCAAAGAAAGCCAGGAGGAAAATATCTGACAGACCCAAAGAGACCCAGACACATTTCACACCATTTTTAAACATAATTAAGAAATGTAGACAAGTTAAATTCCTGTCATATGTTTGTACTGAGACAGAGCCATTTGAACAAGCAAGGCATTGTTAGGAAAAATTTGAAACCAGCAGTTGACATTTTTGATATTCAATCATTTTGGTTTTGGACACGGCTCAACGTCATTGCTTTTTTCTTTTTTATTCTCGTGTAGACAGGTTGGATTCTTTTCCATCTCTGGCTGCGAATGTGTTTTCCCATACTGCCATGTCCTACGAAGCAGTTCAGTTTAAGGCGTAGTTCCTTCTCTCCTTGGAGGTCTTTTACTGGCGGGGGTCTCCTTGTCCCCTGTCTAGTCCCAGGTGTTGGCGTGGTGCCGAGCCGTGGGGATCCTCGAAGTTGATGATAGCACAGCCTCCAGTCAGATTTGGAGCACAGCCAAGCCGTAAGAGGGTCCAGATGCTGCGACCAACCCCTGGCCTGCTCACATGTTCTCCCTGTTTAACGCCACTACCGCTACATGCAGGTCATCATTTTTACATAATAGTCATCTCTACACTTATTAGAACTTGTTCAAAGTGCACTGCCACCAGAGACAAAGCACACAGGTTTAGAACGGTCACATTCAGTAGGCTGAATAAGGCTGGGTAAAACCAAAAAATTCAACGTTCTGATGTCAAAATATTGTTGAAACGGAAAACTAAAACATTGGGTTAGTATTAGGCTGGGAGGTAAACAAACAGCACAAAAGCCTTGAAACCCTGGCTCAAAGGTTTGCATGGATTTAGGACCTCTCACAGAATGGACAGAACTTTCTGAGTGGAGTTTGCATGATGTCCACTGTTCCTGACAGAGGCCCAAATTGCATTGTAGGATGGGTCAAATGTAGAGGACACATTTCTCTATGGGATCAATATATTTAAAGTAGTGCTGTCCAACGATTAAAATATTTAATCGCGATTAATCGCATGAATTTCATAGTTAACTCGCGATTAATCACAAATTAGTCACCCATTTGCGTGCTGTGTGCAATTGCTTTTTTTATTGAAAACAATGTGTAGTGTTATATTACACACTAACATTTGATGCAAAATCATCAATAAATGGATGACAAAATAAATAATTGGTAACAAAAAGCCCCTTCAATGTGTGTGTGGAGTGTGTGTGTTTATGGGTGTGGGTGTGTGTGTGTATGTGTGGGTATAGACCATAGACTGTATAGAAACATCATGGTGTCATTATGATGATGATAAACAATTTTTTTGTAAATTTGTTCATGTAAATACTCTATGCTGTTTCTCTGTTTACTTTCGGTATATCTATGACTGTATACTGTTTGCTTGTATTGCCTTTTTTATTAACCCCTCCCCCCCATCTCCCACTTCATGTCCCCCCCCTCCTATGTGCCCTTCTGGGTTTCTTCTTTGGCCCCCTGTATCTCCAACTACATATTGTTTGTAATCTCTGTCTACAATGTATCTTAACTAGTCCTTTTCTTTGTCCTTTTCTTTGTGTCTTGTGTTTTTTTTTTTTTTAATAATTATAAAAAAAATTAATGGCGATAAAAAAAATGACGCCGTTAATATTGATTTGCGTTAACGCGTTAATAACGCGATATTTTGGACAGCACTAATTTAAAGTTAAGTAAAAGTTAGTAAAGCATGGACTATCACTGTATTGCTTGCTTGCAATTGACGTCACGTCCGCCTCATTACGTATGCGTATCACAAAGTGGTGGTCAGCCGAGCTAGTTGTTCACTGGAGCAGTGTGTCTGAATATGCCTTTTGCATGTGTTTTTTTAAGTTTTCTAACCGATCGAGTTGCGAAACCTTTAATGGATACTTTAGGATTCCTTGTGAAGAGATTAATATAGAGCCTCGCACTCAGGACTTTACGAAAAGACGCAGGAAAAGTGACTCGCTAACATTTCACTAGCAAACGCTTTTACCTTGAAGGATTATTTATGTACCCAGCCATGCAGTCACAATGCGCAGTTATTACATCCCCATCTTTATTTCATTAATTGTCAGGGATGAGTCGGCATTTTAGATAATCACTGTGAAAGTTTGACCTGAAAAGAACACAGCCACAGACGCATTGTTTTGTTGAGAATGACAAGTTCATACCAATCGTTACTTACACGGCTCTTTACGATGCAGGATTTGTCCTTCAGGACCTTAACTCTGAGTTCCTTAACCCACAGACAGACGGAAAAGTTGCAGTATCCATGTTTTTCCAAACCTTCATTTGTTTAGCAATGCAAAAGCTTGATTGTAACACTAGCTAGTGGATTAGAATCTAAAGTGAAGAAAATGACAGTCTAGGATTGTGTCTTTAATTCAGACAGAAGACATGTTTTATTGTCGATGGTAGAGGCAGCATAAACAAAGACGTTACAGAATGTAAGTGACATACAGCGGAGGAATGGAGACTTATTAGCATTATTAGCATGTTAGCATTTGCCGCGGTACCCTAACCCTTACCAAAACATGTAGTGGAAAAATTCTGCCTTGTGCATATTGTTAGAATGATGAGTTAGAACGTTCACCACAGTAGCTTCAAATTGTCATGAAATATCCAAAGAAGCAAAAAAATACTCGGAAGAGTTGCATTTTCTTCATATATCAGCAGCACTTCGTCAACCGGAAGTTTATGCGTCACGTGACTGCAAGCAAGCAATTCATTCCTATATAACATGTTTTTAGTGATAGGGTAGACCGGAGCAGACACGGGAGAACATGTAAACTCCACACAGACAGGCCTCGTCTGGAGGTGTGTTCGAACCCAGGACCTACTCACTGTTAAGGACAAGCTCTAACAACTGTGTCGCACTGACCTTTAATCAAGTATAAACTGAAACAGCCCTAATTTTAGTTAGAGGCCGGTTCCAAATAATCTTTCTGTAGATATAATAGTAAATAATGTCTTTACCCTCAGGGGCTAGGGAGGTTTGAGTAATTCATAAAAAATTCAATGTTTTATTCCAACGTTTATCCATTTTCATGTGGGTATTTTATAAAAAGTAATGATTTTGAATTATTGGGTCAGGGCCATTAAATATGATCACACTTCAAAATATGTTTTACAAAGCATGCCGAGTCATGTAACCAACATAATTTCAAAGCAGCAGAGCCACAGAAGGATAATCATGGCCATTCTTCATTGGCCTAAACATTTTGTGAAAGTGAATTCTTGACCTTTTGCTGTGTTTATGGGCTTTCACAGGAGTTGAGCAAAGTGAATGAGTTTTTCTTTATACTTTTTAAGAGCAATTAGCCTGAAACACAGTACAGTTTCTGCATCATGAAAATATTAACTTCTGGACAACTAAATTTAAAGATTACTTTAAAGTTAACATTGGGCTTTTTGCTTTGAGCACAGGGAACAGAAATCTAATTAGAAGAGGGCTGCAGCCAATCAGTTTGTTGTGCAATCAAGCGGCTCAAATGTGCGTGCGTGTGAGCAGGATAATTAGCACAGGAGACACTGGGAGAACGGTAAACAAGTTTAAAACATGGAGTGCACCTTCAGAGGGCTTTCTCACTGGAACAAGGATGATTGCTATGCTGCTTTTACTCAAGCTGTAAAAAGTAAAGATATCTTGTGCTAAAAAAGCACAGAATTCAACCTGTTATTTCAGGCTTTCACAGAAAAAGGGCTCATAAAAGTTAGATTGAAACAGGAGAAAACAGCAGATAATATATAGTTATTTTGAGCTGGAGTTTTGTCAAATACAGTATAGGTCACTGATGACAAGCTGTCAAGTGTGGCAGACAGAAATGCTGTGTTTAAAAGTAAAATGCTCATTCGCAGGCCGAGTCTTGTACTCTTAATTATCTGGCAGCTTGATGGTCCAATATGCTGTTGTGGTCAAATAAAACGAAGGTAGTTCCACCCAAAATAATGAGGGATCGAGTCAATATGAGCCAAGCGCTAAGTACTGGACCAGACTTGAAAGCAACGGTTTCACAGTCATTTTGACTTGTCAGGGCTGCCATAAGTAGTCTTTGAGGATTTGTTTGTTCAGTTTATGCTCATTTTACTCAGTCAATGCAATAGAGAATAGTCATGTACAGTTTTTGTTTTATATATTCTAGAAAATGTCTGTTACATAGAGAAATGGTTTCATTATGTTTTTTAGTGGTACATCAGAATATTATAATTTTGAGCCCTTATATGTTTTAAAGTAAATGTCTATTTTGTCTGCATCCGCTACTGATGTTCACCTGAATTTCTCCTCAGAGGATACATTTTTATCTATCTATATATCTTAAGTATAGAATACTGTATCTTTCGTTTAATAAGCATAAGCATGACTTTGATGGTGCATGTGAAAACCAAACAGAACTTACGTTTAATGCAGCGATTGGTTCCTGGAGCCACGGCCCAGCCTGAGCAGCACTGGTGACCTCCACACACGTTGGGCCTGAACAGATGGGATGCATGCAACATGTTATGCTTCATTACAGGACACATACAACCGCCTGCAGCACACTCATAAAAGGCTTCTCCTGCGTTGGAGTCAGATGCTTCCAGGGATAGGGCTGCTTTAGCTCTTTTCAAATCTCAAAGAATTAGCTGTTCTAAAGATATGATCTCTCTTGAGAATCCACTATAATTGTCTTTTATGTAAAACTAAATTCCAGAGTCACTGATGTAACTTTATTTCATTGAGAGTCCACATGGAAGTCAGAGTCCAATGCATAAAAGTCATTGAGAATTCAATTCCGTATTCACCTTGACTATTCCTTCACTGTTAGGCAATGCAAATTTATTTGTAGAGAACAGTTTATGCCCACGACAACCCAAAGTGCTTAGCAAAACAATATAGGAAACAAGGACATCCATCCATTTTCTTCCCCTTTGTCCATTTCTGGGTCAATCAGCTGCCACCCAATTCACATAGCACCAGCCCCTCACTGATCCTCCTGCAGGTGGTGAGTCCACAGGAGGATGGCTTATCTGGCAGTAACAACACTTTCAACAGGGGATTCAGGCAAAGTGGGGTTACATCTTAAAAGTGTCTTGCCCAAGGACTTGCCCAATAACTTTACTAAAAAGAACATGGGTACAATCCTTCAGTTTGCTGCTTCCAACCTGGATGTTAACATTGTCAGAGTTGAAACTTGTCTCACATGTTTTTCAGGAATACTGTTCCAGATTTTAGCTGCATGAATCTGAAATACTGCCTCCCCATGTTATTCTTTTCTAATCTATTAATAGATATTATTTGTTTCACATAACTAAACTACACATATTATAATGTTGTCTTTGTAGAGCATTTGACCCTGTTATAAAAGATTTTATATTGTTGTTGGAATTAGTTAGTTGTAAGAATTCAGCTGAGACATTTCCAATACAACCACGTAATCCATATATTTTACTTTTCAATGACTGCACAAATGAAATATGACAAGTCCTGAACTGTTATAACTGGAATGCTTTACACTGAGCCAATCCTGCAGAGTGAGAGATAGACGAGAAGGCAGCCGGCCACAGGAGCACCTCGGGGGCAACAGTCAGCCGCGCGTTGGCATGGATCTGCATTGTGTCATCTCTCACATTACATTACAGTAAGTATGTGTCAGTGTGCGCAGTGATTGGAGGAGATAGCCAGCTTCAGCCTTTAACCCCTAAGCCCTTGTGCTCATTACATTGTACGAGTGCTACAGTAGAATCACAGACTTGGCTTTTGAGACGCATCAGGCCGGGCACGTGCCAAAAACATCACTCAACGCTTTGCTTCACAAGACACATGTAAGTCATAAATGTTTTAATGCGGCGTAATTAGCCTCATAGCTTGAAAGAGACAAGTCCACGTGCTTGCCTGTTTGAAGAGACACATACTTATCACATCAAGAATAACATCATGTAAAGAAAGTGCACCGCTTCGGGCTATCATTAATGAGGAAAGCTAAGTGGAAATTCCAAAAGGAAATGTGTCATGAAGAACACTTTCTCTAACAAGCAGCAGATGAAGCACACTGTTTCAAAGTGTTAAAAGAACCATGCTCCAGGATATATTGTTATTGGCAATGTCAGGCAAGACATCCATGCAGTGATGCATGCTGGATCTCAGTTCACGGGCAACTCTTTTCCGAATGCCCAAGACAGATTGTCAGAGCCTCGGCTCAGTCACGCACCAGCAAGCGTGTCTGACTGACGGATCGGAAATTCGGAAAAGTGCTTCTTTACCTGCGATGGAGAAGGGACAATTGCCGATGGAACCAAGACAAGCTCTGGTTGTGAAGGGTTCCAACAGAAACATCTTAAAAGGGATAAGGTCAGGTGGAGGAATACGTAGCTAGTACTCATTATTCAATTGCATTTCGGTTGTATGGGCAGGACGGGGCTAAATGGGGTGAAAAATGAATCTGCACTTTACTTAAGATATAGATCTTGAGATACATACAAGTAGGACTACTAAAGGTAATGCAATGTAAGGTACACTATATATATTATTATTTATTATTGTTATTATGGGCATGGGGCTCATGCTAATATACTAGTGAGCAATAAGAAAAATGTTAAAGGTTATGTTGCCTTTATGAATATTTAAAGAAGAGGAACTTGGCAGATATCCAGTATTTATATGTGGAGGTTTTGTTTACAACTCATCTTTTGTACTTGTGGTTAATGTTGTGTATGTGGGTGTTTCACGATATGGAGGCATTCTGAACAAATGATTACTTTTATTGATTACTTGGATTGAAAATAACTGGATCAAACAAAAAGATGGCAGTCATATATTTTTTATTACTATTTATTATTAGTAATTACGTTACGATTAATATGCACATTTGAGCTACTGCATGCAAAGAAGCTCATTACTTAAATCACAAAAAAATTTACTTGAGAACAGTATGTTGAATGCTTCAATCACGTGTACATGTCAACATGTCAAGAGTAGGGATGTAAAAAACTATGAATTTTCATGACCGACCACCGAGCCTCACCGGTTGAAACCGGTTAACCGCGTAGTTTAAAATAGTCCACGTTCTTTGAAATAACAGCCATTTCGAGCCGCATGCTTTTCATAAGTGCACCTGAGCGTTCTACGGGATCAGAGCCGAGACAGCGGCACCAAAACCCGCAGCAGCTTCAGCACCTTTGCGCACAGATAACTGCTGTTTTAATCTTCCCATTCTTCTGTGCTGCGGCTTAAAGCATTTTTAAGCAAAAGACAGCTCGTCCACATGGTCAGGGCAGCGAGTGACGAGCCGCGTCTCGCAGGTCTCCGCTAAAGTTTAAAAGTGATCAGTGTGGAGCTGATGCCAAGGACCAGCAGCACAAACATGGTCCATGTGGTTTGACTGGAGCCGTGTATTTGCAAGAATGCTTTGGGCTCACAGAGGAGCGCGACAGACCGGTATGTGTGTGTGTGCAATACATGTATGTATGTGTGTGTAAATATAAGCTCCAATGTAGTTCTGACCCGCACCAGTGTGCAACTAGCAGGCGGTAACAGAGGGGAGAGATGATGCGTGTGGATGTTACGTGTCAATGGAGGGGGGGGGGGGGGAATGTGTGTGTGTGTGTGTGTGCGTGCACATGTGTGCGTGCATATGTGGCGCGTACGGCGTGAGAGTCGGCCCAGAGTTTACTGTTACATGGGCGCACACAGCTAGATAGGGAACCGCTCGTCACATCGTGCAAATAGGGCTTAAAATAACGTTATGAAGAGACCTCCCCTCTCCCCCTTTTCTCTTTTTTAACCGACAGCTTTGACCGGTTAACGCTGTGACGGTCAACAACCGGTTAAACGGTCACCGATTTACATCCCTAGTCAAGAGAACAATATCTATGGCTAAATTCCTTTGCTGCAAACATTGTGCAGTCTGTTTATATTGGCCTAATAAAATATAATGTCTCAACTGCTACAGCATGACAAACAAAACAGGTAATAAATGTACATTACATTGCCTGCAAAAGTGAGCCGCTCAAATCCCACCTGATTATTATGTAAACAGTCGCCATCTTGTGATTATCATACTTTGTCCTATGTAACAAACGGCAGTGGGTGCAATGCATTCACAATGGAAAAAAGCTATTGTGTACTTTGATCACTTTGTTTTGGGCACCGATAAAAGGCAAGATTGCCGGGCTGACAACTGGAAAAAGAAGCAAAGTAAGATGCTCACTGACTGAAGTTCTGTAATTGTGTAATCTCCTTTGCCAGCCCATTTAAACAGGAATCATGTGGTACTAAATGGCTAATGGTACTAATAGTATAATTATTTGTTTTGTTCCAGCCATTACGCAAAATGCCCTACGTGCTGGTAAGAATCCCTAGATGTGTATAAATTATGCAACATTTGTGGTCATTTTTGTGGTTTGTGGGGTTACATCATCAGGAAATTCTAGGGCACCACCACTTTAGAGTTCATGAACGATAACAGGTCACACGAGTTCTTTTCAAGTGATAGATTAGGGGAAGATGGAGTAATGAGGTTATTATGTGTGGTTGAGATAATACTAGATCACTGGAGTGGGGTGAGGTCTTGGAGAAAGCCAGGGGCAACAACTCAAGCTGTTTGGTGCATTGCAAGTATGCGTTGAGAAAGATTGACAAAGCGTCTCAAAAGTTCAACCATGTGTTACGTTAAGTTATTAACATGAGATTATTTTGACATGTGACAAGCCCAAAGACTTTGAATGTACAGTAGCCTACTATGGCATTAAGAAGGGTTTGCAATGTAACCAGCTTGGGCAGCTTAGTTGGTTTTGTTTTAGTCTGTGTAGATTTAAGTCTTGACCTTGCTGGAGTGACCTTGAGATGTGATAATTGTAGGTTCTGTTGTAATAGTATTCACTTGTTTATTATTCATCTTAATCAGCAAGAGTAATACATTTATGGGGATTTAAAGACTTGAGGTGAGTTTTATTACATGTCTAATGTCTTACGCATATGATTACACAATTCCTTCATGATGGGAAAAATATTAAAAACATAATTTAGACAATGGTCACTGAAAGTACCAATTATGTCTCATAGACAGTATATTAGGATTGACTGACCGAGTGCTAACATCACTGTTAATGCGGAAGACTATTTTGAAAATTAGCTAGCTGGAGCATTTTTTAACAACTTTCCCTTTCAAATTAGTCATCTGATTGGTCCATTCTTATGGCTCATATCTGTATTTGCAAAGATACTAACAAAATATAAACCAAAAGAGCGTAAAGAGAGCTAAACCACAGATTTTTTTAAGCCCAAAATTATGATAAAAACGTATACTGAGCAAGGAGTTTACTTTTCAATGTAAGTCAATAGGTGCCAGAGAAAGTTGTTGCGAAACTTTGTTCACAAGCACTTCCCTTTTAGGCTTCATTGAGCGAGGCTGTGAGCATTGTCCATCTATGTACAGTTTATTCTAGAGCTGTATTTAATTATTATTTTGATCATTTAGTACCCTGGAGAACACATCAGTTGTTATATTAAAAATACTTCGCAAATACATTTAAATTTAATCTTTCATTTTTTTGTAGTTAAGCAAGGTAATAACATTGCTAGCCTACCATTGTCTGGTATCGCAGAACCAAATACTTTTACATCTTAATTTCATTCAAAACCTCTTCTCACCATGTTTAAGTCTATATGAGTTTCAAAAAACTAAATATGGATTACTAAATTAGTAGACAATTCTTTAAACAATTGATTAGTTGTAATTACATGATTGCCTTGTTACAGCCCTAGTATCAAGCTCATATTTTAGTAACTTGTTGGCACAACATGACTGCAGTTACGGCTGTAAAAAAAAAGGAAGTTTCATTTCTATTTTTACTTTGATTCATCATGTGTCATTGTCCTACAAAATCTATGAGATTCTTTTAAGGAGCAGTATGTAAAAATCTGGCCAGAAGTAGTACTGCACTCTCCCTGACTCAGGTAGCCAGATATGCAGGCGAATCCGGCTGGGATCATAACATCTGAATAAAGAGTTTTGTAAAAAAAAAAAAAAAAAAAGAAATCTATAACCAACACCCTTTTCACAAAGATAGAGATCCTGGTTGTATTCCTTGCTTGTCATTACTGATTTGAGAATCATAACATTTTTTAATTCTGCAGCCACATGTTACTTTACCAGTGAGTTCTGGCAACCCGGATCACAGACTTTCTGATTGCTGAAACGGTGGAGGGCGGGACATTGAAATGAAAACAATAACAAGATTTAGGGGCTGTAAAACAAATTTTCCAAATCCAAATATCTCGGCTGAACTACTTTTATCAGTCAAAGAAGTTTTGAAAGGAGGATGTTTTATTACTGTTTTTTGACGGATTGGAACCATTTAAGATGACTTCACATGGAAATCTTACATATTGCTTCTTTAAATATTGTGAATATATATATATATAATATTTTATTTGTCATTTATTTGTCATCCAAGTTATTTTTATCCTTTTTTTCTTATCTAATAAAAAATTGGGGGGTTTAGCTGCATTGATCATGCAACACAATAACTGAAATCACATATTGAATAAGATTAATTGCACAGACCAAATATGAAAATATTTCTGGTTAACATGAGTTTTTATATGTGAAATTGTAAGAAGTAGATATTCTTCCGCTGTGGTACATGGTTCTCAAGCTCTTTCTAACGGAGACAAATTATGCTGCAGTTCATCCTAGAATATTGTGAAAAAAAGACTGTAGATTTTATACAATACTGTGGAACATGTCGTTGGGCACAAGCAAAAGCCCTATCCTTTTGTGTGATAGATTATGTTGTGGTCTGCTTTGTTCAAATTTCACTGTTACAAGAACAAATTAGGAGGCCTAGCTTTATGAAATGGGACAGAGCAATGATATGGATACATCTGCTGGCACATGGAGCACAGGACACAAACAACTATAGAGACATATATCGCCTCATAAAGTTGTGTACAAGTGACTGGCTGTAATAATCTTACCCAATGAGCCTCCTCGTGGTGCTGTGCCTGCGCTGATTGGGAGCTTGTCTGATGCTGCGACTTGATGAAGAGGAGGCATCTGCATCAACCTCTTTGCCCGGGGACAGCGCGGTCTCAGTCCCCTTTTCTTCCAGCCCGATGCCCGGCTGACCTTGACTCCACGGCTTGTGCTTATGTTGTTTGGTCCCATCTTCCCGGCGCTCACCTGTTGACTCACTTCGGCTACATCTTATGCTAGCAGCAGCCATCAACATTAAAACTACAACTCCCACACTTTTCATTTTTTTGATGAGCGAATATTCAAAACAAACAACCGCGAAAAGAGCGTGTGCGCGTGCGACTAGCTAAACCAATTTAAATTTAGCAAAGTTAGCTAATTCAACAAAACGTCATCCTCTCCCAGGAATAAAACATGGATATTTCTTCATAATGTCCAGGTAAGAAATACAAAATTAAAAAACAGCTCAAAATAACTCCAAAAATGTCCGCTGGTATGAAGGCAAGAATTCAAGCTAACATTATTCCATCTGTTTTGTTCTACTCCGTCCGCGTTGGCTCCAGTCAGGGCTCCACTTACTGCAACTTCTGCGGCTCTAAGTGTGAGAGAGAGAGGACTACAGCTCTGACACACCACCATGCACATCAACCCACCTCCTTGCATCTGAAGTCACCGGGAATTGCACGCTCGAAGTAAGGAAACTCCCCTTTTGTTGGCTGTAGCGCCCACCACCAACAACAACTACTACTTGCTCTCCGCTCCGTCTGCCAAGTTACATCACGTTACCGTGCGTCTTTTTGACAAGGACTAAAAGGGACGCTAGATTCAAAGCAGCTGCCCTAAGCATTACCATCAATCTAAATGTAAGCTGACAAGTTATTTAAGACTCCTCAGTGGTCATAATCGTTACATGCATATATTGTGTGTGTGGGATTTTGACCATGCAGCTTGCGAACGCATTACATTTGGCTCGTGTGTCCTGATAGAGCTTGAATCATAAATGTAATGCACGCAGGGAAATATGTTTACACAGTATGATTTAGTGCGACGTGAGCAGATGCACGCAGAGAGGCAACGCAAAACAATAGTGAAAAGGTAGAAGAAAGTTGAAAGCTGGAAAGTTGGTCAGCTCATGTAACTAACTAACTCAGTGCATTTGTCGACTCCTTATAGTCCATGCTGCCTCATCAGTTTTCCCCCACTGACTGTCTGGAAACAACACATTTCTCCTCAGATCCCTGGCTCGTTCTCCCCATTCAAGCCGCAGAGATGTACGCCTGTCTCCCTCTCGAGTGGTCCCCCGGCTGCGTTATTACCACGTTCTGATCCGCGGTCCAAAATACACAGAAGCAGCGGTGAGGTGGAAGACGAGAAGGCGGGATGCGAGATAGAACAGGAGGTAAGGTTTCGGAAAGGCGGATCGCGTAAGTGCTTGCTTCAGTCATCTGTCAGTGAAAGTGGTGCAGCCAGAAGTCCAAATAATACAAAAAACCACAAAGAAGTTCGTTTACAAAATTTGGAACAAGCACGATATTTGTCTATTACATAACTAACTGTAATACACAAATCATACAGTACTGTCTATTAAGATACATCCCAAGTATCCATAGATCTGGATCAGGTCACGTGAATTGGCTCAAAATTAAAGCTGGGGTACCTCACTTTTTTGATGAATACTTGCTATTTCTGTGCCCCACAGAAAGAGTTTCTAAAAGTCAAATGGTGTCAACTTATCAGATCATAAGAGGCTGTCTCTATTTTATTAGATATAATTTTATCTTTTGCATATTTGTAAGACACTTTTTTACATGTTTGAGCTGAGAGCTGATTGGCCAAATATAAGGATGGTCCTTTTTTTAAAGTAGTACTAGAATTTAATATGCTGCTATCCAGAATATAACTACAATATGTGTTTATAATATTTCGGGTGTTCATTTTGACATGTTCAGATGAATGGGCTATACATAGTTCCCACATCACGTCACTACATACGGGGATTTGCCGACCCGGCGCCATTTGTATTGGCATGCTGTGGGCAAAACAATAGAAAAAGAAGCTGAAACGTGTTAATGTCGTGATAAAGTTGAAAATGGTCATCTCCTGCTGGGTCAATGGATGTTCAAATCGTGCCGGAGGTTCTGTTAATCTTGGATTTTACAGTATACCCATCATTAGACTTCATGAATGTGAGAAGACTAAGCTTTTGTCAGAACAACCACGGAGGTTATGGCTTGCGAAGATAAACAGGCAAGAAACTCCCTCAAAACACGCAAGAATATGCTCGGAGCACTTTGTGTCAGGTGCGTATCGTATCTTATAATGTGTTGACAGACGTAATTTACTCAGTACTAACTTGTGTATGCTGATAGCTGGTAACTTGAGAGTTTCATTATTTAGCGTTAGATTACTTTATTACGAGGAGGATCGGTGTCGCGTCCGAGGCTCTCGAGGGCAACGTAAATGTATTAAATAGATAATAATAGTTCTATGGTGGGCTAAAACAATGTTCACAAACAGCATTGCTTCTGTAAAAAGATCTGTGTCATAAAATAAACTGCTCTTTACGCCTGGAAAAATCAGTTGCCCACCATTCACCAAAACATACGGTCAAAAACGCGGAAATAAACAATTACAGCAAATGGCATTAGCATTAATTAAATTAATTGTTAATAAATTAAAATAATTAAATGGAGCTCCAACTGGTATTAAATCAAAGGCTTTGAGAAATGTTTGCATTGCTTGTTAATTTTTGCTGCATAATTTGATCAAATATGTAAAACATGTCCGTAGCACGTTATAGTGCCATTGTATTAATATACAATTATTTGCTCAAAAGTTGCCCTTTTTTTCCAATTTGCGTTTGAATATCTACATTTATTCTCATATCTTCTGTTTAAATGGAATCGTCACAAACACAGCAGCGTGCCCATCAAAGATCGCTTCTCCGAGGAGGTCATTTGACATTCAAAGGTCTGTGTAGCACATGTATAGAACAAAGCCTGCAACATGTCTTCCACCCACACTCGCATTGGATAAAGGACTAACCACAGACAAGCAGGATTTTAACGGCAAATCCACTCGCATTGCGAAGGTGAGGCCCGCAAATATGCCAGCACCGAAGCTAAACAAGACGAGGCCGACACAACTCTGCAACTAGCGGTAAACGCAATAGCTTATCATGAGACAATAAAAGAAGACTGGAAAAGCGAGGGAGGTCGTAAAAACCTCCGCGTGTTATGTGAATCTGCGAAGGGATAGAAGGGGGAAGGCCATTAATCGATTACATGACGACATGCTACCAAAATGGCTAGGCTCACTTCACGTACATTTTGTTTGGAGCGAGTCCACCGCACACAAGCAACGGCCAATTACTGGCCAGAACAGAGTCCGTACTGATCCCACGAGGTCAGAAGATCAACGTTTTGCACAGGATTTTTCAGCAGAAACAGCCCGGAACAGAAAGAGTTTCCACCCGCACTATCAAAGACTTCATTGACATTAACGCATACCGTGGGTTGTCAACCCCATTCCGGCTGCAGAATCCTCGCACGGCGAAATATCCACCTCTTCTCTGGCCCAAAGAAGCATGAGGATTTCAACAGACAAGACAACATTGAACTGTCCAGTGTAACGATACGAGAGGTGTCAGTTGATTGGGACTGACTGAGGAGTTTGCCTATCAAAACAGGTGAAAATCTGAGAATAATAAATCGCAACTATTTCTTTATTCAGTTTTATTACCAACATGGCCTCTGTTCAACTTGAGGTATTCTCTTGTTTATTTGTTATAGTTTTTGTATAAACAAAGTTATTGTCAGTGTTTTACGTCAATATGACATAGTTTGGTTTTCTAACATTACAATTATTATAACAAAGATACAATAAATACACAGTATAGCTCATAAGCGTTAAAATTACAAAAACAAGCATGTGTTGGGAAGCTCAAGAACTCAATGAAGGAGTACTGGGGAGGTGAATGGGATGTTAATAATAATTTCTGTGTTAAATAGCTGTTGTGTGTATGTGTAGAGAATGTTTAGACTTGCACTTTATCAAACGAGGTATTAAAATATGGTTATGACTCCAAATCCAAGACACCACAAATCACTGAATGGAAAAAACAAAACAAAGCACTTATCACAAGCAGGAATATCAGTGGTCTACAAAAGCTACCAAAAGTGAAGAAAGTGTTTTGAAACAGGATAACATTTATAAAATCTAATCGAATTTTCCATACAAGAATCACACCTGACAAATGCAGATATCCAAATCCACAATAAAATAGGCCAGGCAAGTGTTTTCATGCTTGTTAAACCAGCCATTCCAGGGTAGTTGTGCACTTTGATACACAAACAATACCAATCCAACAAATCCAAAGTTAAAGCAGACCCAGGAGGGAGATATCAAAAAGTACAAGGTACTTTACTCTCACAAAAGATAAACCTCAAACATTTCTCAGTCCCATGATGACTCCCCAACATTTATCCAAATCTTTTTTAAACCATTTCAATGCAGGATGGAGATAGTATAAAAACTCAGGGACTCTAAACAATACCCCCTATTCCCTCTCGTCGATCGATCATCAAAAAATGCCAGTAGCACTCTGAAAACTAATAAAAAGAAACTTCATAAATAAATACAATATCTAAGATTGCAAGCTAATGGAGAAATAAAACCCAATTGTTAACACAATAATCGTACTTAACAAACCATCACCAAAAGTCACTCACGCATTGACGTTGTATTTACTTCCATCCATAGATTAAGATGGAAAGACAATAAACATATTGTCTTAAGCGATCACGCACCCGTTTTCCATCATATTACAACAAGAAAATAGAACGTAGCCCTAAAAAGATGTAGACAACAATCCTTTTTACTGCAAGATTGAAAAGTTCTGTAAATTTATAGAACAAATGGCATGAGACAGCTATTAATGATAATAATAAAAATTAAACATCTTTCTAGTATTCGATGGGAAGCCTTCCACGCTTATATAAGGGGTGAAATTAAAAGCTACACACTGGACATAAAATACAAATTTACAAAACAGAGATTCATCAATGGAGCAACAAATTAAAAATCAAGAAAAAGGAAATTCTAATTTGCACTAACGATCCAGGTAAATTAAAAATATACAAATTTTGAGAGCAAACATATGACAACTAACACGAAAAAAGTTGGCAAAAGTTACTTTGGACCAAAACAAGCCTATATACGACCAGGGAGAAAAGCAAAGAACATTAAATCGGCCTGGAAGCTAAAAAACATGCAAACCGAAATAGCCCTTCTCAGCATAAATCTGACTGGACAATCTGACTTCAGACCCACTAGAAATAACCAAATTTTTTAGAACATTTACGAAAATTAAATTAATCAGAGTTGTCATAAACAAATTGAAACTAAACAAACGATTTCCCTCGAATAAGCTACAACTTCCGAAACTATCATCAGAGGACCAAGATGTGAGAGATAGACCAGTAACAACTACTGACTAATAGAAGCCAATTTGAAACCTTTGTGCCAGCAACAAGACACCAGGACCAGATGTGTATACCAGTGGAGTTTATAATTAAGAAAAACAAAAACAACTAGCCCAACCACTTTTTAGACAGTTAAAAAAAAAAGATATCCCATAAGAACTGTGCATTCTCCCTAGAACGTGCAACTATCACCTTTGATTTTAAAAAACCAAATAAGCCACAGGTAGATTTGCTCATCATATAGGGGAATAAGTCTCATGTGATAAGCGATAATCATATATAAAAGCAAAATTCACTCAAAAAGACTGAAACTTTGTTCCAAACTAAACTTGGATGACCACATGTTTTTGTTCAACAAGCAAGCTATCATAATAATATACGATTAGAAAATATATTATAAGAAAAACAAAAATACTAGTGATAAAGCAATTTTTGCTGTATGATGCATGTCAAGCTTTTGATAGTATGAAAGGCACATACCTTGTAACTGCATCAAGATATGGACGGTGCAAAGATCATACAATGTTGTGAATTATAAATAAACACCCTACAGCACAATTTAACAAATAATCAAACTCTCACATAAACCCTTCAAATATGCAACGAACTACAAGACAAGGGTGCCCTCTATCCCCACTACTGTTTTCGCGCATTTAGCTATGGAACCCTTGGCTATAGCATGAGAACACAGGCTGGACTGTCAGGAGTTAACATTGTGGCAGAAATCAATTGAAATCCCTATTTTCCGATACATCATATGTTTTCTAACTGACTTAAAGTACACAGTTATCCTAAGATAACAGACATACTGAAGAAATCGCGAGAATATTCTGAGGATATAAAAAAAATAAAAGTAAATCGGTTCCCACATTCTACGATTCGAAGCAAGAAATCTACCACCACAAAAA